GCTGGCAGGTGGACCAGGCCATCCTGTCGGAGGAGGACCGAGTGGTGGTCATCCGCTTCGGGCACGACTGGGATCCGACCTGCATGAAAATGGATGAAGTCTTGTACAGCATTGCGGAGAAGGTAAACTGCAACTGTAACGTCGTACCCTCGCTTCCTGTACTCCGTGTTTCAGGTGGCTAACGGAGGCAGGTTACGGCTCAGTTTCTGGAGAGGTGTTTCTGCGTTTCGAGGCAGCAGCAAAGCTATTTTGTTTGCTTCCGTGAGTGTTTCCTAAAAATGATCGGCTGCCCTGCTGTTTGTAATGCTCAATGGGACAAAAAGAGTGCTGCAAATCCCAAAGTCGGAATTGCTGCTTGTTAATAATTCCTCATTTAATGAACGCCAGCGTTCAAACAGAAACATGCGCTGGGTAGTAGGAATGTTATGATGTTAGGTAACGCAGCACCGTCACTTTACAATTAGAATGCATAGTAGCTGCAGGTTTTCATTTGGATCTAAAAAACTATTCTAATTTGACACTTACAAATGGTAAGACCCTAAAACGTATAGGAAGATGTTGATTAGCATATCAGTGATGTTCTTGGTGTAAACGGATGCCATTCCGTTGAGTTGCATGGGCTGAATTAAATGTTAGGACCTACTGAGGCAGGCTTTGAAGCTTTTTCGTATGGAAATAGTGCCTTCTTACAGTAGGTCAGTCACTTAAGACACGTACACACTGAAGAAGAGTTAGTCTGTGTTAACATACACAATCAGGTATGATTTACCTCTTCATTTCTGTGGTAAGGGTATTGTGTAGCATCATACGTTGAAAGTTGACAGCTCTTCTTTGAACCGTATAGAAAAGGAAGCAAGAAATCTGAGCCACAAGTGTTAATATTTAACCTTAGGCAGGAAAAGGAGTTAGCTACCTTCGTATAAAATTGTGTGCGTATTGCATAACTTGGAGTGAAGTTGTGATCCTGGTGTACTCCTTTCTCTTTTAATTGTATTTTTAAGTAAATAAGCTCCTGTTCTGTTTTTCAGATCCCTCAGGTTAAAGATCTGTACCTGTAATCAAATATTAAGACAGAATAGGGTATGGTGAGGACTGCTGTGACATAGTTTAATTTAGTCATTTTGTATTTAAAGATGGGAGCTTTTTATAGTTGGATACTGTTAGTATCTGCTCTTGGCAGGATGCTTGGCAATTTGGCAGACATATTGGCACTTAAGGGTGATTGGGGGAAGAAAGAACAATATAACTTCTTATTTAAAAATCTCCCTCTGCAGAAATGGCAAATTAAAGGGGGAGATCCTTCCTCATCCTCTTGCTTACAAGCCATGTTTGGATCTCGCAGCTGTTTTAAAGAGTGAGTAAAAGTTCCAATTGTACAGGTGTTTATACTAGAGAATAATACAGAATGTTAACATGCTGTGATTGCATGCTACATTTGAAGAAAATGTAGCTGTATTTTATATTTGGTACCATGGTGTGTTTTTTCTTTTGTTTTTAATCTGCAGCATATTTCTGGGTAGCAGTGATGTTTTCTGTACTTTATACTTTGAAATTAGTTTTTTGTTTGTTTGAATCCTTTGGGGAAAGAGAAACTAGAACGACATACAGAAGTACAAAGCAGGTGATTTTCTCTGATATGTACTCTACATAGAGTTAACCTACGTTATTTTTTTCAGCGTTATATTTGAGAAGGAAGCAAGGCTTCACAATAAATCATAGCTATAGAATGTCTTTTTTGGGGGGAGGAGGGGAGACTTAAAATCATGCTGAAGCAAAAATCTAAGAACTGAGTTGTCCAAAATTCCTCTGGAGCACTTTCTTTATAAAGACACTTTTTTAAAATTTCACTTTACAATAAGCTCATCCCCTGAAGTGTGGAGCTTTTACTGCTAAATTTCTGTAATACTTTTGTTTTTTAATTGTGATGAAAGTGCTTTAAGACCATGATTTGTTTAGAACATAATAGTGTAAATCAGGTGACCTTTCCTGAAGCCAGGTCCCTTTAACAGATAGGTTATATTGGGTCAGTGCTGGTCTAGAGAGGAATGTTCCAATATTTTGCACTTACTTGATGATAATCAGAAGTGTAAATAGCTGTGATTGGCTCAAACATCAGTTGTTCCTCTTTGCCTTTCTGTTAAGACTGCAGGAAAAGTGAAGAGGGGGAGAAAAAAGGAGGGAAGGGGCCTGTACAAATGGCATTGGTATTAGTCACTGGTGTTTGCAATTAAAGTTGAGGAAAGCTAATCCATTTACTCTTATCCATAGTTTTCAAATTCTTTAGCCATAAGCATTGCTCTTGGCAGGATGTCATCTTTCTCTTCGGACATATAAATTTAACACCTAAACTGCAATATCGTATTCAGAATGAGGGAAAAAAAAAAGTAAACAGTGATGGAATAGACCTTCAACTTTGTACTTGCTGTGTTTGCAGTCTTTTTCAGTTTAGTAATACAAGTCTGCTAGGCATCTTCAGCTTGAATGAACTGTTGCAAAAACTCTTCTCAGTTACTGTATTTTTTTTTTCCCCTGTGGTTTCCATATATATAAGACATCTACACGTTAGAAATATCATCTAGGAACTGGGGAAGAAGGTCAGAAGAGGTATTCTTGGATCTTTTTCCAGGTTTCCTTAGAAATTTTCTGCACATATTCTGGGCCACTCTTGGCCATAAGCTAATGTAGGGTAGTGAGACTTACTTCAAGGGGAGTGGAAATCTTATCAAAAAAAGGAACACTGTTACCCTCATAAGAAATGTAAAGGAACTGCCTATGATTATTAACGTTATTCCTTGTCCTTGTGTTGCTGTGGCAGTCTTGTGTTGTAGGAACGCGCTAATTTTCTGGAATGATTCAGTTTTAATTGCGAGTGTCAGGAGGGAGAGAGGAAAAACGAGATTTATTTTATCTGATGCATTATTTTTTCCTTCATCTGTATTTCTCATTTCCCACCTGAGTGTGATCTTTACAAGACAGGATTTACAGAATATGTAAGTTAAGTTCAACTGTATCTAGTGTTAAGGGGCCTACAGATTGCTCTGCTTTCCAGTCCTGAGCCATTCCATTTAAACATTTAATAGTAGTCCACCAAAACAGATATAGTTCTGTAAATTATTAAAATATTGGCCTGTAACTATGGCTAGACAAAAAATGTACTTTTGTTTTCTGTGTATGCTTATTAAATAGTATAGGCTAATCTGTGAAGCTACAGTAACTATGGGGGGAGGGGAGAAACCAAAGTCAAAACTGAAGCGTAGTCCTCAAATCAGTTGATAAAGTTTTGAATGTGTGCTGCTGCGTGGGTGGGTTTTTTTGTCTTCTATCTTGTCCCCATGGTCAACAGCAGCTATGATAGTCTAGTCAAGCAGAGAAAACTGAATTAAAAGATAAATAAAGTCAAGTTGTTGAAAACGAATACTCTGAGATGTTAATATCTTGCTTGTGTTTCTATTGAAAGTGTTCTTAAATCTTCAGGTGTTGGACAAGTGTGGTCCTATCCAAAAGGAGGCATGTAATGAGTATTTTCTTTTCAGAAAGCAGTTTCCCTGCTGCAACAGTTTTATTATATTTCACTATGTGTTACGAGGTTAAGTACTTCGTTTCTGAATACAGTTGTATTATTCTGTGTTCAGCTTCTAAAAATGCCACAATTTGCGCATTGCCTGGACACTAAAAGTTCAGTTTAGGTTAACAACCTCATTGGTGTTAAAATTGTCGTAAATGTAATGGCTTTTACTTAGTGCAGTACGTTCTTGAGAGTTGTATTTAATTCTTGTTCTGAGATTCCTTTGTCGCGTTCCAAGTTAAAATTTATAAGTTGTTTTGATCTTTAGCAGCCGCTGCCCTGAAATGATAGAGAAGCTTGTTGTCTATGGTGATATGATTTTGAGCAGACAACTCTGGGTGATGGATTCACATTCCAGTATATGGGGAGAGATTAAGCTTTGATTTGTCTCCATAGACTTATTAGCTCAAGCATAGATCAACTCCTCCTTCCATGCCAGCTCAAATCCAGAAATAGTTGAATTGCTTTTGCTTAAAATGAAGCTTGAACTAAATAAGCCTATGGGTTCAAACTGGCTCTGTTAAAGCCAGCTTAGAGGCTCTGTACTGCTGTTTCCAAGTAGCTTGGGTCCAGTATTGTGTTCGAGGTAGTACATGTCCCTTCAGGCTGTGAATGCTGTGATGTTTCTGCTTAATGCTGTGCAGAGACATCTGAGTAGTTCTGCAGGGCTTGTCTTGGAGGCATTTAATTTCAACATCATCTCTGAGAAGCATGCCTAGTCTGAAATGGCCACTAAGCAGTAGATATATGGCCACTGCAACGCTTTGGAATCGCCTCTTGTGTTTTTAGACTCTTAACCCATGCTTTTATAAATTTCATTCTTAGGCCTGAATCGCAATCTCCTACCTCTCCGTTTACTGGAGAGTTGCCTAGCCAGGCCAATGTCATGGGCAGCCTTGTCAGCCATTGTCAAAACACAGAACAAAACTCATCCCTATCCAAACGTGCTTGCATGCTAAGTGATTTCAGAGCCTGGAAATGCTTTAAAACAGTATATTTTCATTGTGGTATTTGGTTTTCATCTTGTGAGATTTGAAATTAAAAAAACAAGAGAGCAGTTAGTAGCCATTTTTAAGTTCTAGGTTCAAATTTGGGAGTTCTGTATCTGTCTTTGAGCAGGTTACTGCATCATCAGTTTCACTTCCAGTGAGTGGTTATGCTTCTCTCCTTCCCATGCGGGAGATGAGGAAGATTCAGATAACGTCTGAGATACTTGGATTATGTTGGTAACTTGAATACATGCTTTGCAAGGGTGGTTTGAATGATCCAGTCGTTTTGAGTAAGATTTAGGTAATAATCTCATTTAATGATTGTGTAAACTATCACTGTTTCAGAACATTTGCTAACCTGTTCCTCAACTCTGGCTTCTTTTTCTAAAATCTTAGGCTGTTGGGGTTCATTGCTAGTGACAAGCATTTCTGGTTCTGCAGCAGCTTGACTAACTGTATAAAACGTCAAGCTTTCTTTAAAAGTCTTGCTGCTCCAGTACTATGTGGAGCACGCCCTTCTTGCAAGTAAAATCTTAGTTTAGTGATGTTTTTGTAGTTGTCTTCTGCTGCAGCATACAATCTTTTTGGATTTGTCTTTCGGTGAATTGGGGATTTAACATATTCATGTCTGTTTTAACTTAAAGTCATTTTTGATCTCCAAATTAACTAATTTTCCAAAGATGACTTATAGTTTAAGAGCTGCCAAATATATGTTGTGGCACTTTCCCATCTGAGCAAACCGTGCTGTTGATGCTTAAAAAAGTGAGCAGACTGGAAGAAGAAAAAAGAGGAAAAAATGAAAATGGACTCTTCTGGTGCTTTTGAAACCTGTATTCTGTCTCCAAAGGCTAACCAGAGAATAATTGTGGGTGCTTCTCAGTTAAATTACCAACTCTGGGCCTCCTCTTAAGTTTCTCAGAAATTTAAATGCTGCTTGACCCCAGAAGAGATTTGTTTTTTTTTTTTTTTCCAGCTAATACTTATTTACATCTTTGAAGCTTTTTTTTTTTTTTTTGGAAACTTCCTTTAGGAAGAGTCTGTCACAGTGTATTTATTGTACGCTCCTGTTTTAGTTTAGTGTTTTTTTTTTGTAAACAAGCATCTCTGTACTTTCACACTTAAAATGCTTGTTAGGATGTTTTAAGTACAAGGTACACCATACAGAATGCATGCATCTCATACAGTCTAATCTAGTTTTGTGGTGTGAAATAAAACTTATTTACATCAGCCAGAAATTACGTTGACCATCATATTTCTAAATGCTTGGTAGCAAAGTCAACGTATTGAAAGCACATTGAGGCAGTAAGTTTGTCACAAATCTTACCAAGACCACATGTGTTGCCACAGAATTCTAACTATGCGTAGTCAAATGGGGAAGACAAACTGTATTTGTATGTCAGGGCAGAGGCAAGGTTGTGCATTTCTGTTATAACGTGCAAGTATTTGATCATATACCTTACAGTTACTGGTTTCTGTAATTTAGATACCTACTGCCTTACATTTTAATTTATACTTATATGTATATAGATAAATTTCTACTGTACCTGTACAGATACAAGTTTAGAAATTGAAACTTTAGTTGTACCAAAAGTCCAACATGCCACAGCTGGTAAACAAAATTATGGCATGATTTTCTTTAGTTTCTTAGTTAATTTCTTCCTTCGTGAAAGGGGAAGGATGGTTCTTGTGCATCTAACTCAGTAACTATGCAAAATGAAGACCTATCTGAACCAGAATTACCGAGAGAATAACTCCTCATTGAGGTCTTTTTTCCTTTATCAATTAAAAATTTCAGTTGCCCATATCTCTCAAAAACCAATTAGTATTATTATTTAACCAGTCTCACTTTAAAAAAATAGATAATTAAAAGGGAAAAAAGATGCCTGGAGGAAGGCAGAAGGAAGGCCATTCTAGACCATTAGTTTTCTCAAGTGTACAAGCTGCTGACAACAGAGATAAAATGTCAGTTGGCTTGCACAAAGCACTTATTCTACTTGTTTGGAGCTGTTCGTGTTATTGCAGCGTCTCAGTTGTCTACAAAGGGCGCTTGTTTCCCTAAATGTTAATTTTTAGCACAGTCACTTCCCTCTTGATACTGGATGTAAAATTAGCATCTTGCCTGTATTTCAAAGTATTTTTCGTGTTAGTGGCTTCTTCTGTGGTTAAAAAGAATGGCAAGCCGATTTACCATTATTTCACGCATTAACATATTGCAAAACAAATGTTGCAATAGTAAAAGCCTATGCCTTTTAATCAGTAGTATGAATAACCAAAGACTTGGTAATATATATTGCTTTATTTCCTGTTTTCTTCTGTTTAGGTGAAAAACTTTGCTGTTATTTATCTTGTGGATATCACTGAAGTACCAGACTTCAACAAGATGTATGAGTTGTACGATCCCTGTACAGTCATGTTCTTCTTCAGGTACGTGATTCTTCTAGAATATAATTCAGTTGACTGTTTTAGGGGTTTTTTGTGTCAAGTGCAGTGCCTCCGTAGATCCTTTCTGAATGCATATCGGCATATTGATACTTAAATTTTTATTGTTCTACAATGGAGTAAATGGATTGAATAGGAAAATGGCTCTGTTTTCCAGTTAGTCTAGTAACTTTCTTTTGATAAGATAACACTTGTTTCACTTCCTAAGCCATGACTGCCTGCGATCCTAAAACTTAAAAACAGTACTTCTATGAAATGAGATCCTAAAAAAAATTCTAATGGAACTGGGTTTTTTTTGTGTTGAGTTTTCATTTTGGTGTAATTTCAAATGTCAGGAATTACGTTGTCCTCAGTTTTGTTTTTTGTTTTGTTTTAATCTGCAAAAACGCTTCAAGGCTTTGAAATTGGCTTGGTATGCTTATAGTCTATTACATTAGGCTGCCTGGCTTAAATCACTTATGAATGAGCAAAGGCAAGGAAAATTGTTCTTAAGTCCACCCTCGTGGACAATAAGGCAATTCATTTGCTTGTCCACAGATGCTCACATCTAGGTTTGTTTGTTAAGTTTTCCCCTTTCAGCTACTGACGTGTGTGCAGTATTATTATCTACAAAATCATAGACTTAGCAGGTTTATGAACAAGTACAGTAGATGACTTGAAACCCATTCTGTCAGTGTATAACTTGTAATAGCATAAGGATTTTATTTTTAGAATATTTAAATTTAGTCGTATCAACCTATGTATTTGTATTTAAGGCAGAGCCTAGATGTAAAACTACTAGGCTCTAAATGAGCAGTCTGCAAAATCATAGGCAGTGTGGAAATCTAACTGGTAGAATGGAAACCATATGAATGTGTATTTACTAATGAAGTATAAATTAGTGAAAAGGAAACTTTGTATTTATTATCCATTTTTTCATAGTTGTAAATCTGAAATTCTCTGTAGAGATTACTGCAGTAGTATGGCAGTCAAGTTTGTCAATCTTACTTTAAAAGTATATGCAAAACATTCAGGTTCTGGAGCCAAGGCATCTCCTGTGATGAGATAAAATGTACTGCTGGCAAGCCTGCAAATATCTCTGCGTCAGGAGACGGTAGTAGGAAAGGAATACAAACTATGGAGAATACACTGAAGGATAATAGTGCTGAGTAACAATCTTGATGCAGGGGTGCTTGTACTCCTTGTTCTAGCCCTAGAAATAGGCAATAAAATGTCGGCTTGAATATGACAAGAGTAGATACTTCTGTTCCAGGCTTACTTGAAAATCTGTTCATGTTTTAAGGGCTTCTTCTTTTGAATCCTACAAAGCTTTTGGGTGAGGGGGAGGGGTAGTTGAGTTTTCATTGAATTTTCAACTATAATAGTGTATTAACCTGTCTGCTTTTTCTCTCCCGTTAAAGGAATAAACACATCATGATTGATTTAGGTACAGGTAATAACAACAAGATCAACTGGGCAATGGAAGATAAGCAAGAGATGATTGACATTATAGAAACTGTTTATAGAGGAGCCCGCAAAGGTCGAGGTTTGGTAGTATCACCAAAAGATTATTCCACTAAATACAGATACTGACATTTTCTTAAGTGTCTGCTTTTTTTAACCCTGCATCCACTTAAATTTATCTTTGTGTATGTGTGTACATATTAATATGTATATATTAAAAAAACCCAGATCCTACAAATTGGTGAGCATAGTTGGAATTATTTAAAAGCTTTAAATTCTGTTTGAAACAGTAGAAGACATGAAGCTTGGAGCTGTCTGCAGAAATACTGTAGCTGCATTTTTTTTAATTAAGACTTAACTCTGTCTAGTATGATGTATTTTTCTACACGAAAAGCCTATTTGCAGAAAAACATTTCAACTGTGTTTGTCTGCTTTGTTAAGCAAAAATTGGGGAAAAGTGTATTATAGCCTTTTTTTAAAGGAATAAAATGTGTTCCACTTACTTGTCTGTCTTTTCTTCAGTGCTTTAAAATTGAGAATGAAGATGTAATTCCATGCAAAATTGTAACCATGAAGAGGAAGGTTTATCACTTCTTTCAGGATTTTCTTGCGTAGTATCTCAGTCTTTCACATCCATTGCCAGATAGGACTTACTAATATTTAGCAAAACTCAATGAAAACATCTTTCATGACTCTGCCAAAAACCCCCCAAAACTGCTTGAGTTGTGACGATGGAATTTCTTTTTCATGGTGGTTATACAACCAGTTTGAAATACTTCCTTGTAGAGTGTGAGGTAATTGCAGTTTTGGAGCTGGCTGCATAGTTCACATCTGAAGGAGGTGTGAGCTGTGTGTTCTCATTCAGGCTCCCGTTTGTCCAATGGTAGACCAAAATGCATATATATTCATGAGACTAGACTTAAATTTAGCTATGGTATGGCTTTGGAAGTTTGCATTTGCATTTCTGACAGTTCCTGTTTTGTAGTAGTGGAGTCTGTGTGTGTGTGTGTGTGTGTTCTTTTTTTAAACTGATGAATGTGTAGAGTTACAGAACTAGCAATAAACAAGCTGGACTATGTAGAAGAGAAATACTTGTACTTTGCGTCCAGTTTGTCACAAGACAGTGTTCCAAACAGAACTGGAAATTGTACTTCTGCTGTCAGTTCTTGGCGAAATGATGAATATTAGTCAAACTGTCTGTTTTAAAGGTCTTATCAAACTTGATTCAATTTTTTGACATTGTGTACTAGATCTGTTCTTACAGAGTTACTTCACTGAGGCTAATTAGATAATTCTATTCAGTACTGGTTGAACACACACAGTTCATTAAGAACTGCTTGGAATCTTACTGCATATTGCCAGTCCTTGGAGGCTTATTCATGAGGATAGGGTTTTTGCACTTGATGCATTCCAGTGATGACATGGCTGATCTACAGTGTGATTTGGACTAGTGAGATCATGTTAGCAAGCTTGTTGTAATATGGGTTAAATATGCGTATTTTGGTACTAATAATACAAGACTACTGGTATTGACAACTTTTAAGAGCAGGCTTCTGAAAGAATTTAGAAACTACTGGCTATATCATGGAACAGTACTTTCCAGTGTACCATGTAGCAGAAAGGTTAATACAGCATTTCTATTTCTCTCCAGAGGGCTGCAGAGTAAGGGTAAGGGCCTTTATCTCTGCAAGTAACATCAGTGAAAACTGAAGTAACTCTTTAACATCAGCATCTTTTGGAGTATTTGGAATGTGTGCAAGTGAAGAAGGTAAAGGATGTGCTTCTACTTTCTGCTGTTGGAAGAGACCTGTGGAGGTCTAGTCTAACCTCCCAATCAAAGCAGGTCACACTAGATCAGGATGGTCAGGACCTTGCCTACTTTAGAGTAGCTGTAAGGATGGAGATACTACAACTTTCCTGGGTAACCTGTTCCATTCTTTGTTCCACCCTCCCATATTGCAGGGGGAAAAAAAAGTTCCTTGCATCTACCTGGATCTTCCTGTATTCTTCCAGCTGTATCCCATCAGCCCATTTCTCCAGCCTGTCAAGGTATCTCAGAATAGCAGCCATGTCCTCCAGCATATCAACATCTCCCCCCAGTTAGACTTGCAAACAATGTCAACTCTGATTGAAATGTTGGTTATAACCATGTCTTGATATCGACAGAGTAGTCTAGGGTGGACTTAAACTTAAAAATTACCAACATTTTTAAAGGCATATGTATTCTTCATTAGCTGTTTTATTTATCCAATCATACTTCAGTTTTCTAAATTTGCTGAAAGAGGCTCCATTTAAGTTTCCAACAAGATCTCTGCCCACAGTGCCAATTTTCTTGGTGGATGAGAACTTGAGAGGTAGGACATTCTGCCCCAAATAAGAGACAGTAGTCAGAATAAGCAAAAGAAAACATTTGTTAACTAGAATTCCTATTTCAAAGTCACTGATACCTGTTTACTCTTTAAAATAGGCTCTTTTCATCAAAATGGCTGATGTTAACTGAAATGGGCAAGATGTGTATACCTGGATGCTGTTACAGGCACAGGTGTGCACAGCTTCAGGTAGGCTTGTGCAATTACTACCCTTTCTTTCAGAGCAGAGCAGTTTATATTCACTGGACATAAAAACTTATAACAAATAGATTATTTTCAACATTTATGTCTGCATTTTACAATGTACAATTCTAAAGGAGCACCAAAGAGGCACACAAATGAAATTGTTACGAAAGCATCTTGTTATTCTAAGAACATTTAAGTTAAAAAGGCAACAAATAAACATAAAAATTTAAAGGTTACAGTATTAGAATAATGGAAATACCCTGTCAAACTCTAAATGTAAGAAAGCATAATTAATTACATAGGATACAGTTTTCTATGCAAAATATTACTATTTTTGTTTCCCCTGAAAGTAGTGGTTCTTTCCCAATTACATGAAAGTGTCCTACTGAGAAGAAGAAACCCAGTGGTTTACTGGAGAAATAATTAAAAAGAACAGGTTCTATCCTGACAAGTGTTTTTGTCACTGATGCTTTTTGAGACTAATGACACTGTAGATGTTGATACACTCCCAGATTCAGTGCAGTGCAGTTTTCCCTTCATCTTTCCTGCTCATAGCCTCCTTTCAGTGCTGCAAAGAAAATAAGTAGGTTAGTGGTTTAATTATTCATGAATGTGATTCAGCATAAAAATAGGAACATCTCTGTACAGTTTAATACATGAGATGGCCTTTCTATATTTGTGAAAATAATTTCAGCTTATCACCAAGAGAAAGGCATCAGAATGAACAGATGTCTAAAATAATTTAGCAAATTTACAGGTAACTCCTTTCGGTACTTGGGTAAGCAGCCTCTAAATGATAAAAAACAACTGATTTGTCTCAGTCTGAATTAGGAAAGCTTGCAACAATAGGAAGATCTCACCAGCACCAAGAGAATGCTGAAGGGATCCCATTTCATAAATACTAAGAACACTGACTGAGGCATCCATATATGGGGCTAGGCAGAAAACTTTGTCAGTCCTCCAATACCAACAGACAATAATGACACAAAATACAGTACACGGTCCCGAACTGCAATGTGATTTCACATGACAGAGTGCTTGACAATACTATTTAAGTTCTCCTTGTGCCTTCCACACCCCTCATCTTACTGCTTCATAGACAAATCGTTCCTCAGTTGTTCTGGGCACAACTGTTTATAAGGTGTGCTGTAAGCCACATTAGAAGGCTGAAGCAGTGTTTAAAGAGATTTATATCAAAGAAATTTAAATGAGGTAAGATTCCTCAGTCAGCTATTCTAACGTACCCAAGGGGCAGGAATGGTGGGCAAGAGTGCTTTAAGCTCTTTAAACACTTTTTTTTTTTTTTAAAATACAGCCTCAGTTTACATCTTTGGGATCAGTTTGTGCCACACCTTCTATTTGTCAAACAGCTGTAACAGATGCAGCAAGACAGTTTGTGTTCTTTAAGAAAAAAAATATATATATATTCTTAGGCTGCTGGCAAAAACAAATCCTAGGGAATAAGAAGCCAATCTCAGTATATTTTAAATTAAATCCAAATAAATGCAGGTATGATAAACATATAGCTATTTTCCTGCTAGGTGCTGCCTATAGTTCAAAATTAAGTGGAAACGCATCAAATGCAGAAAAACTCAGTTAGTTTCTTTACTCCCAACTCTTCATTGGTGTTTTCTATCCCAGCTTCTGCCATTAGGTCAGCAACATGCTTCTCGAGGTCATCAATGCGCTCACCCATTTCTTCCAGTAAAAAGTTAAAGAGAACTTTAAGTTATAAATAAAAATGCTATGATTTCACAGGGTTTTTTCTCCAGCAATACAAATGAGAAGGTTTTCTAGATACTTTAGGCTCTTACTTATTCATGTTCAACGCTCTTAACACAAGACAAACCATCCAGGAATAGCACAAAATCACATTGTAACGAGACAGTCCTACTTTCTCTTGCAACAGGAAATACATTCAGATTCTAAGTGTTTTTCACATGCTTTCCTGTCTGTTCACCTATGTGGTGGAGTATTTTCTCTATAAAATTGTTTCGTCTTTAAGGAACTATTTTAGGCGATCGCTTAAGGTCTACATACACAGTCAGAACATGAGTGATACTAGAACTCTATTTTGTAATGTTATTCTCCTTTTACACTAAAGGAGAGCCTTCCTGAAAGGTAGGAGTTTCAGAAAAATATAAACTGTAACAAGTTTTCCATTTCAGAAAACAGAAACAGTTCTTGTATCAACATCTGACGAGATCTTAGAGCCCCTTCAGGTCTTAAGTTTCTCCTTCTGCAGGCTCCTCTTCCCACACTCAGGAGGCTAACAGAACTGTTTTTTAAACCAACAACATGCTGTAACGTGCTCGTTTAAGTGGCATTTTTGAAGACGTCTCCTTGTTTAATGGACTAGAAAATTTGCACGTTATTTATTACTTATTCTACTATAATTTAAAAACAAGAATTGCTGCACAGAGGCTAGCATGCTATGACTGATAACACTTTTAGTAAATCCTTTTCTAGGGAAAAATAAACATACGGGGGGGGGCAGTTCAGTTGCCCTTATATCATAGGTGCTTAACAACACTAATTGTTTTTCTAAGCATCAATTTAAAACACGAGCTTATCCCAAATTTAAAAAGCAAGAACTTTTTTGCATCCATTTGGTAACCTAAACCAGTAAAACCGAACTTAGTCCAGTGAAATAACTACAGTTCGCTCCTTTCTAAGAGTTACGAAACTTCAAACGCTAAACCAGTAACACGGGTTAAGAAGGGAGGATATTTCTCAGCGTTATCTTCTCAGTCAGAGCTTGAAAATTCTCCTGCAACTGATATAGCAAGTTCTCCGCCTGGAAAAAAAGGGAGGAAAAAAAAAAAGAGAAAGAGAAACTAGTTACAACCCGCACAGCCGGCACTAGG